ATATATATATATATATATATATATATATATATATATATATATATATATATACACACACACACAGATATACACATACATATATATACGTTTCGAGTTTTAAAAAAAAAACTTTGTGCGTAGTGAGGTGGGCTCTGGACGATGATTTATTTTTTACAGTTTAAGCTTGAGTTTTGATCGCTTTAACACTTTCTGCTCTTTTAATGGATTGTTTTAGCTGTTCCGGTTCATTTCAGCTTAAACTAAAACCCTCAACGGAAGCTCCCCTGCATATGAACAAATTATTTAAAAATTAAGTGCCAGCTCCCATTCTCCTTCTGGAGGTTAGCCTGCGGGCAAACCAATCAACTAACTAACTAACTAACTAACTAAGGGAGTAACCCAGGGAGATTTATCTCACCTCGTTTGTTTTTCGTGCCGTTCTTTTTCGCCGTCAGCAGCTCATGGTCGATCTTCTTCTCCAGAAACTCTTGTTTTTTGGCCAACATCTCCTCTGTTTCCCGGAGTTTCTGGATCGCCTCCTGGGGAGTCGGTCCCTTCCCTCCCTTCCCTCCTCCGGTGCCGAATATCTTACCAAACAGCGACATTTTGTGTGTTTCAGATTAAAATGCGCCTGTTCGGCTGTGAAGACACACAACCCAGCGGAACTTTGAGAGCGAACCGGTGAAATGCTAACAAGAATCTCCTAAACGTCCTAACTGCCGCTGGTGTTGTTTCACTCCCTTCTTCCGCTTTTCGCTCACAGGCCTCGTGATGTCATTACGTAAGCGCCGTGACTCATAGCCGGAAGACGAGAGGGGGATTCCGGCCGCCATGATCAGCATCTTCATACATCATTGAGCAAATCTATTTATTGAAGCACTTCTGTTCAAAACTGGAAACTCAAATATGTGAGACAGTAGAAAATATTTAAAGCATCTCTACAAAAAACTTTGATCTTAAAATCCAGAAGAGTTAAGTATCCAAAACTTACAGCCCAATGAAGTCAAAATACTTTTGCTTCACAAGTAGCTGTTCAAGTAATTACTTAAGAGAAGAAAGGATTGAGCAAAGAGGCTAATTGCGATGGGATGCAAAGTTATACAGTAAAATTAAGAGCAACATTTTTGGTTTAATTAGCCTATGAGATCAGAAAAAGGTTTTTTATGTTTGTTCATACATTTACAGCTCAGTTTCAAATTAAATATTTACTTCAAGCTAAATATTGAGTTTACAAAATAGATATTTAGCTTGCAAAATATTTCTGTAAACTAAATATTTTCTTAAAACATTTAATTTTCAAATTGAATGTGTAGCCTAACTAAATACTTTGGTTGCCAGCTAGATGTTTGGATAATATTCATTAGTAATAAGCACACTAAATCTAATCGGTGATAACTAAAATATGGTTTTATTTTGAAAGACTGTATGCTATGCATTCTTGTCAGGCTTTCATGTTCACAATAAGTGGTTTGAAAATAATAATCATGTTACAGAGTTCAGGCATTAATTAGTAAAACGGTGTAAATAAATCAACAAAATGCAATCAGATTGAATTATTGTTTTTAATTGCCTGCCATACACGGATTCACCAACATCCTAAGTTATTATTATTATTTACTGTAACAGACTCAGCTGCAAGCATCTAGAGACCAACCCAAATCCTTCAGGAAACTACGCCTCCCATGATGCATTGCGCCGTACTTTTCCAGGTGGAGGCACGATGATCCAGAATGCCATCCAATGAAACGCTGAGAGGTCAGAGGGACGGCAGAGGAAGAGCCGACCTGGACGAGGGATGGACAGGTGGAGCACAGACAGACAGCAGAGCAGGACCAGAGATGCTGGCTGAGCCTCACCTGGATGTGTTTTTGTGGAGGGGTCAAAGGTCGAATCGTCAGCTCAGGGTGGAGCTCTGTTTTCAGTCCCGTCTTCAGCTTCACACTCTTCATCTCGTACTGAAACAGAGCAGAAACACCGGCGGCCATTTTGATCTGAACATAAAGAAAGAAAAGTCTGGAGTTTTTAGTCTGCTGAGGCGGCAGAACCAGAACCAGAACCAGTTGTCACCATTGTTTAGCTGCTCAGACAGATTTTTATGAAACTCTAACCCTGGAGCAGCCTCAGTTTCCACCAACAGAGTGTTCAGAGGCTTCAGCAGTACCGCTGCAATCAGACTGCTACAGCAGAGCCTTCCTGACGTCAGCAACACCTCTCTGATCAGAACGACATTTAATTTGGTTGTTAAAGTATTTTAACATGAAAACCATCTGGATTTATAATCTGGGACCTGCAGTTTTCTAAGCGATGGATTTTCATGTAGAGGCGAGAATAATCCGGTTTTTATTAATATAGTGAATGAAACAGACGTTTACCTCCTTATAGGCTTCAGACAGGAAGCCCCAGTTTTTACTCCACAATTCTCCAGAATCCTTCTCAATTTTTATATGAGCCTTCCTGAAAACAATTCACAAGAGAAAATTAAAATTCATTAACTCAACATCTTCAAAAGTAAAGAATTTTTTGGACTGAAGTTAAACCATCTTTTCTGTATTCTTCTTTTTCCAAACAAGATAAAATGAAGCTTTTCAGAATAAAATGATCTTAACATTCACCAGATTTCATCCTGATGAACAAAGTTGATGGGTTCAGATGTTTGCTGTGAATTTTCCATCAGAGCCGCTGTGAGGAACGCTATTTACTGTTGCCATGGATACAGGATCAGGTGAATCAGCTGTCAGAGAGGGAAGGTCAACGATAAAAGCTGCTGGACAGGAAATGGAAACCACAACTTCCTGTTTCTCAGAAACATAAATGCCTGTAGCAAAGAGTATTACTGAAAAAATGAAACACTTCAGCACAAATACAGAGATTAACTAGAAAGTGTGCATTTCCTATGAAAATGCAAAAGTGTCTGAAGCCACCTGCTGAAGACTTGCAGAAATGCAAGAAATAGTCCATGCAGTGTGAAAAACCCAGGTAAAAGCCAAAATTAGCTAAAAAGCTAAAACTAGCTAAAATACTAATGATAGCATGTAGGCTACCACTAGCATGCTGGGTTACAGTAATATATTCCATGAAATGTGAAAAAATAAATAAATAAACTCATGTAAACTCTGTTAGGAAAATAAAATTAAAATATCCTAGTTTTTAAGCTTAACCATATGTACAATATAATATAAAATCATCAGCGTTTTAAAATAAGAACACTGGGTTCCAAATTGCCTTCATGTTATTTTAGGTTTAATGCAGGAATCTGCATAACAGGTCAATTGAATATCACATTTATTACAGTTGAAAAAAGAAAAAGTTGCCAAGTTTAGATTTAACTGAAATGATTGCAGTAGTTTCCAAACGGTAACAGCTGAAGAAAACGATAGTGGTGTTTCATTCTGTGTATGTAACGTCCACATTATTAACTCTGTTATTTATCTGCATTTATGTGCTATAAGCTGTAACATCTGATTACTTTTCCCAGGGAACAGAAGAGCAACATGGCTGACATGATGGAGAACCGTCAGAACACCTGGATCTCCTTCAGGAGGAAGCAGCTCCCAGCTGAGGTGGCAGAGCTCCATGGAGAGTTGAGACAAACAGAAGAAAATAAAAGTTGTGTCTCAGTCTCTTTATTTCTGCTCACTCCACACATTATTGTTCATACTGTAGTTTATATCAAGGTCCTAATACAATCCTCCCAAAATGTGGAGCTTTAGACAGTGAAAATAACATAAATATGTCATTGACACTTAACATTGTAGATTACCAATGAAGGCTTACAAAACTGAATACATTATTCAGAAAACCAAACATTTTGACATCATCAGGGTTGCTGAACCCAAAATACAAATCATGTTTGTTCATTTCTACATCATTCTATCCACTCGCTGTTCAGCTGTCTGCCTGGAGAATCTTCATTGTAAGATAAAATGTGTCCAAGACCTGGAACCTTAATTAGCGATAAGACTGAGTTTAAACCTTTAATTCTTAGTGTCCAAAATGTGAAATCATGAAGGTTTGATTAAAACTAGAACCATTAGAAGGAATACGGCTTTATTTGTTCTCAGTATACCTTGGACATCAGGTGAATCATAATTAAACGTATTGAGAAGTTAAAAACAACAGATTGTTAATGCATTTCAACTCTGTAAGACCAGACACTTTTTTTAATCAGAAATGTTTGATCAGCTTATTGAGCTCATGTGATTCCTGCTCCAGAAAGGTGAAGGTCTCTGGACATCCTGAAGGTAAACACCGACCAGCAGTCAGGAAGACGGACACTGATGAGATCCTACAACCCAAAGGCTGCAGAAGAACCACGATGGTCTGCGGCGGCAGTTTACCAACATGAAAACACATTGAAATATATTATGAATTAATTCTGATATTTGTAAGTTATTTGCAACACCCTGACTGACATTAGCTCATGTATATTCGGCACTATTACAAGTTTTATCGTAGTTTAATACAAAAATCATCGTTAGCTTACCTGAACCGTCTGAGCCACCTGCTTTCCTCCCCTTCAAGGTGGAGATCAGCTCCTCCTCACCACATCGCAGCTTTCCTCCCACCGGCGCATTTTCTCATAAAAATCATAATCAGGCTATAAACAATAGTTCAGCTCTCGCTTCTTTTGTATCAGAAAAACAACAACTCATGTTAGGTTGCATGTAACGAAGCACAGCACGTAGCTCCTGGAGGCGGGGCGCTACAGCCCCCCGCCACCAGGAGGCGGAAGCATCCTGCTTCAGAGCCATGAGCCATGTTGGGCCGGTGGAAACCCGGTCAGTCCGAAATATAGCCAAGCTGCTGAAGTAGAGCCGGTGAAAAAGGGACATTAGACTCTGGTTGAACGATGTGTGAGACCAGGGTGGGGGGTAGAGAGATGCCCCTGGTATGCTCTTCCATCCATCCACTCAGACCCCCCCAGCACACACAGCGCTCATCATTGTTGTGTTTTGGGTTGGTTTTTTTACCGTTCATCCATCCTGTGCCCCCCCTACAGGACTCGCCCCATAGTTTGGGAACCTCGGATACAAGTAGTCCTGGAGTCGTTTTCTTTCCACCAGGGGGAGCCCTGGTACCACAAATGGTCCAGCGACCACAGTGTGAGAAAGACTGCTCTCAATCATACACTAGAACGCCTCCCTGGTGAGGAGTTCATGTCCCACTGGGAGGAGGGAAGACCCAGGACACACTGGAGGGACGATGTCTCATCTGGCCTGGGAACGCCTTGGGGTTCCTGGAGGAGCTGGAAGAGGCTGGAGAGGGAAGTCTGGGCCTCCCTTCTGAAGCTGCTGCCCCCACGACCCGGCCCCGGATAAGCAGAAGAAAATGGATGGATGGATGGATGGATGGATGGATGGATGGATGGATGGATGGATGGTTCTAGTTGCACTAAATGTGTTAGGATTGACCTTTGTTAACCTCTAATGAGCCCAATAGCTTGAAATTGCAAGTCAACCCCACTGCGCCTGTGCGTCGTCAGGGAGCACTGAAGACATCAGCAGACGGGTGAGGAAAGGTGCGAGAGCGTCAGTGAGAGGGTGGCGTTGCTGGAGCCCCCCGGTCGCCACGAGGCCAGAGCCGCACTGAGCTGCGAGGAACTCCAACGGCGCTTGCAGTTTTAAAATATATTGTTTTTAATCTCCAAAATGCTGGAAAAGTTTCAAAACTTACCTTGAAAGTCCTTGAATTTTCCTGGGAAAACTGAATGAATCCTGAAAAAATAGAGGCTTCATGATGCAGACCACGGACAGGAGAGGGAGCGGCAAAAGCAAAGGAGCTGGATTAGCAGAGCTAGCAAAAACCTGGAGGCTACATCCAGGAGATGCTTCTGTGGAATATTCTTTGTGGAAATCAATAAAGTTTATTCAATTATGTTAGAAAATAAAGCAAGTCAACAAACAAACATGCATAGGAAATACAAGAAGCAGAAACTGCATAAAAAATACATTGAAAGGATCCAGAAAACATGGAGAAACGGTTCAAAAGCAGGAAATCAAAGTTTGACTAGATCTGAGAGGCGGCGGAGTCGCCAAAGTACTGGTGGAAGATCTCTGGATGGGCGGAGCAGAACTGCCTGAGCAGACGCCTCCTCTCCTTCGCCGCCATGCTGCGGTCCAGGTCGATGCTGCTCAGCAGCTCCCACAGAGCCTGCTGGGTGTTGAGCTTTGCTGCGTCATCAGGAGCCTGGATGGAGGCCGGCGGACCGGGAGGAGAGGCTGCAGGAAGAGAGCGACACGATCACCGTGGAAACACCATCACCATGCTGCTGAGATTAGAGACAGATTTTCTTTCCAGTGGCTCTAAAGCTGCTCTGCAGGTCTGAAATAAAAACACTACAGTTCAGTCGGGTTCAGCCGGGTTCAGTCTGGTTCAGCCGGGTTCAATCTGGTTCAGTCGGGAGTCGGGTTCAGTCGGGAGTCGGGTTCAGTCGGGTGTCGAGTTCAGTCGGGTTCAGCCGGGTTCAGCCGGGTTCAGTCGGGTTCAGCCGGGTTCAGTCGGGAGTCGGGTTCAGTGGGGTTCAGCTGGGTTCAGTC